CGGGGACTGCTCTCCACGCTGATGGTTCTCTTGATCATTCGCTTTCTGGTCAGTGGGGGCCATGAGGAGCTGTTCGCACACTCACTGCGTTACTTCATGTCGGGCAGGAGACACCCCACCAGCCCCCCATTCCTGCCCATCTCAGATGACTTCCTCCTCCGGCCACCACCTGAGGTCTGCTCCCCCAGGGCCCCTTCCCTCCTGGTCCTGGTGGTCAGTGCCCCTCACCATGCAACTCAGCGACAGGCTATCCGGTCCACATGGGGAGGGGCCCGCCGGGCTGGGAAGTTCACCGTCCAGATTTTCTTTGTCTTGGGACTGCCCCAGGAACCCTCGCTTCAGATGGCGCTGCAACAGGAGGCGGTTGAACACCAGGACCTGGTCCAGGGCCGCTTCTTGGACACCTACGGCAACTTGACACTCAAGACTTTGTCCCTCATGGGCTGGGCAGCCGTCCACTGCCCTGGTACCCTCTTCGTGGTCAAGGTGGATGATGATATCTTCCTCAACCTGCCCGGCCTGGCTGAGGAGCTGGAACACCACATCACCTTGGCACCCACCTACCTAGGCAAGATCTATTGGCGGGCCAGGCCCAAGCGGGATTCCCGCAGCAGGAACTACATCCCGGTCAGCCTTTATCCAGCAGAGCACTTTCCCGTCTACTGCAGTGGCGCAGTCTATGTCCTTTCAGGGGCTGCCGTACCCATTTTGCTGGGGGCTAGCCGCCATGTGCCTCTAGTGCCCGTGGAGGACGTCTTTGTGGGGCTCTGCGCCCATTGGGCAGGCATCGTCCCCCAGCGCCTGGCCCGACTGACCGGCGGGGACCACTTCCCACCAGACCGCTGTTGCTACCAGGGGATTCTCCTCAGCGTACACAAGGTGACTCCCGTCGAGATGGCAGCTGTCTGGGACGCGACCACCCCCTACAAGGAGATGTGCCAAGTCTGGCAGTGGGCACTGGGGTACCTGCGGTGCAAGGCCCTGGCCTGGATGGCTGACCAGTGAGCCAAGAGGCAGCTGAGTGTCTCTGGACAAATGGGCATTCAGGTGAAAGTTCATGCTAGCCAATTGGGAAGCCTGACTTGGCCACTAGGCCTGGGTAACAACGGAAAAATTTGTTTCTAAAATCAATTCGTTTTTTGGGGGTTTTTTGCGTTTCGATATTTAAAAGAATTCCGAATTTTTTTTTAAAAAAAAGTTCGATATTTACGAAATTTCGTAAATGGTAAAAAAATATTACAAAACAATAACGAAACAATAACGAATTGATTCGTTAATGGCGGACGCGACCGCGCAATACGCTAAAAAACCTCCAAATGGGACAGGGGGAACTTCTGAAGCTTCCCTCTCCCTCTGTTGTTGACTGTTGGTGTGATATTATAATTTTTTTTCACTAATTAAACAAAAAACAACTATAAAACTTGCCCCAGACATGCGGAAATAATAACGAAATGACCTCAAACCAATAACGAAACGAATACATAACGAAATACAAAGCATTTACGAAACGAATTGAAAAATTCGTTTCGTTTTTAAGCTGCTCCAGAATGGTTCATTATCGCTTCGTTAACAAAAAAAATAACGAATTTTTAACGAATTACGAATTAACGAAACGAAACCGCCCAGCCCTATTGGCCACGGTAGTCCACGCTCTGGTTACATCCTGTATAGACTACTGCAACGCTCTCTAGGTGGGGTTGCCTTTGAAGACTGCTCATGTCATCGAGGGCAGCAGAGGCCCCCGCCTTCAAGTTGGTTTGGCCCGCAGCGGAGAGTTCCGCAGTTCCTGGAAGTCACAATTGGGACAAACTGATGAAATGTGCCCCAACAGAGAGTTCAAGCTAGGACTGCACTCAGCCTCTATGCCTTTCTATCACTTTCCCCCAAGCCCTAACATTAGGCTTGGGCAATCCATGGTTCTAAATGGTTCTAAAGTACTTACAAAACTAAAGTTCTGGTGGTGAAAATTTCAGAACTCTAACAAAACTCTCAAAATTTCATAATAAATGGCAGTTCCTAATTGGTTCTGTCATTAAAATCACCAATAATGAAATAATAATTAAATTTTGAAAGTTTTGTTAGAGTTCTGAAATTTTCACCACCAGAACTTTAGTTTTGTAAGTACTTTAGAACTATTTAGAACCATGGATTGCCCAAGCCTACCTAACATTGTAGCTATTCCCCTAAGAAAGGTACTTGAAATTGCAACTTTTAACTTTTCCGCTTGATACTTTGTGTCTTTCCTTACCTGAACCACAAAAACTGCATGAAATTAACCTTTTCCAGGCTCCGGGGAACCGCGGGCCTGCCCGGAATGCCTTCCTGACGTTCCGGGGACGCTGAATCTGCGTTTTATGAAACCGCGGATACGGGATTTCTCCTTTCGGATCTCGGTATCCACAAAATCATAAAATGGTGGATCGGCTCCATTTTAATGCCATATTTTTCTGTACTAAATTCTAATTCTATCTGCTATCTTGCTTTTCTTATTTTGGATCCCTACGCCCGGGAAATAACCTCTCGATCTTTGAGAATATATTTTATTAGAGAACAGCTGATTGCCAAAAATGCCGGTGTGGTCCTAGGGGTCTCTCTTACTGGGGAGACCCTCCAAAAGTCCGTATTGACTTCACTCGGAAGCTTCAAATGGTCCAGCGCTCGGCAGCCAGGTTGCTAACAGGAGCGGCATTCAGGGAGCATTCCACTCCTCTGTTGCGCCTGCTCCACTGGCTACCAGTTTGCTACCGGGCACAATTCAAAGTGCTGGCTTTAGCCTAGAAAGCCCTAAACGGTTCTGGCCCTACTTACTTCTTCGAACGCATCTCCTCCTATGAACCGACTAGGACACTGAGATCATCTGGGGAGGCCCTGCTCTCGGTCCCGCCTGCATCACAGGCACGCTTGGCGGGGACAAGAGACAGGGCCCTCTCAGTGGTGGCCCCTCGGCTGTGGAACGCCTTGCCTGCAGATATCAGATCAGCGTTTCGGAGGAAAGTGAAGACCTGGCTGTTCGAACAAGCATTTGATTAAACAGTGTAATTGAACATAGGAATACAGAATAATGGATGACAGGACTGGATTCTGATTTTACTGTTGAGGCGCTAATGATTGTTATACTTTAGACTACTGCAACACTCTCTACGTGGGGTTGCCTCTGAAGACTGCCCGGAAGCTGCAGCTAGTCCAACGCTCGGCAGCCAGACTACTAACAGGTGCTGGGTACAGGGAGCACACCACTCCGCTGTTACACCAGCTCCACTGGCTGCCAATTAGCTTCCGAGCACAATTCAAAGTGCTGGTGTTAACCTTTGAAGCCCTAAACGACTCCGGCCCTGTTTACCTCTCCGAATGTATTCTCCCCTATGAACCATCAAGATTAATAAGATCGTCTGGAGAGGCCCTGCTCTCGGTCCCACCGGCCTCGCGAGCGCGTCTGGTGGGGACGAGGGACAGGGCCTTCTCGGTGGTGGCCCCTCGACTCTGGAACTCTCTCTCCCTGTTTACCTCTCCGAACGTATTCTCCCCTATGAACCATCTAGGTTGTTAAGATCGTCTGGAGGGGCCCTGCTCTCGGTCCCACCGGCCTCGCAAGCGCGTCTGGTGGGGATGAGGGACAGGGCCTTCTCGGTGGTGGCCCCTCGACTCTGGAACTCTCTCCCACTGGAGATCAGAACCGCCCCTTCTATCCTGACATTCAGGAAACAGGTGAAGACGTGGTTATGGAGACAGGCATTCGATGCGTGAGCCAACACCCTGAGATATGAATGGAGGAGGATGTACAATTGACTTTAGTATGACGACTGACCATTGTAGTTGTTGAGTGTAGTTGCTGTTTTAATGATTTATTGTAATACGAATTATGTTGTTTTACTGACTGTATGTGATTTTATGGTTGAAAACCGGTCTGAGTCCCTCAAAAAAGGTGAGAAGGTCAGTATATAAAACTTTTAAATAAATAATTGCCCTATACTTGTCTCGTGATGTTTTGTACTGATGTTGTTCACCGCATTGAGTCGCCTGAGGGCTGAGAAAAGAGGTATAGAAATAAAGTAAATAAAGTAAATAAAGTAAATAAATAAATAATTATGATAGCTTCCCACTACTGCAGTCCTTTAAGTGCTCTTGCCTCAGAGGCAGGGGCCCACCTCCCATTTTGCAAAACTGTACCCCCCAACTCTGCATCCGCAACTGTCCCCTCTTGCAGGGTGGATTTGAATTCCTGCCCTCCTGGTAGCCAAAAAGAAAGGTCAATGGCCAGGCAAGAGCTGACCAAAGTGTTTGAGGTGCCCCCATGGCATCGTGGTTTTGTTATAGGGCTGAAATTTAGGGGTCTTTGCCAGGAGGCAGAGACCAATTAGACTCCTCAAAGAGTTCTTTTTCCCTGGCGAGACAGAGAAGCATCCCATATTTTTCCCTGATTTCCCAATGAAAAGTTTCACCAGTTGAAGAAAGGCTATCGAAGTTTATTGCGATTCAGCTGAAACGGATGCAAAGTTGCAATCATTCGCCAGCAGAGCATGAGGGGAATACACCAATACAGTCATATTTATAGCAAATTCAAAGTTGC